TAATCTTAAAAAATAAAATTCAATTATTAAATTGCATTTGATTTTCTTTTCTTTTTCTTTTGTTCATTATTCTCAAAGAATTTGTATTTTTTACATTTACAAAAGTCTCGAAAAATAAATTATTATACAGACCCCCGCCAAAAGTCTCCAAATGTCATCTTTCGGCTATTTCATACCGAATACATCATAGGGTATAATACTGCAGTTATGTAATGTACCTGACCTTGTTTGCTTGAATCAAAACTAAATAAAAGCATGTTTGCTTTGTTTATTTTGATTTTTAACCAAAATAAATTTTACCTTCCAAAAACTATGAAAAAGTTCAAAGAACAACGCAGCGGTATAAATTTTGCTATCAACGTGGCAATAGTTACCAGCTTATTGCCGCAAATATCAGTTGTGGATTTTTAACAGCATTTAGAACTTTAAAAAGAATAGATGACACCGGAACCATTATTCGAGGCTTCGTTCTGGTCGACCATCCTTAATTAAAGATTCGCAGCGAAGCAGTCTGAAGCGATTTGTCACAGCGAATTCAGGTTGTGATGAAGCAAATAAAGGCCTGACTAAGTAACTAATTATTTAGTACCAAATGTGTAGCGTATCGTAAATTAATAAATAAATTAATAAATTTTTTTAATAAACTTTAAAATTTTAAGTTTTACATTGAGCCAAAAAGCGTTCAGAGACTTTTGGCGGGGGTCTGTAGTAATTATTAAATGATTAATTACCTTCAAAATAACACATCTTACTTGCAATACAACAGTATTATTATTTTAAATTTCTTTAATTTTTAAATGTATATTGTTATATGTTATTATTCTTGTATCATCAAAACTTAAAGTTGATCCAACTATATATCCCAATTCTTGTGAATAAGTTAATTTAGCTCGAATTTTAGTGCAATCTGTCATAGCAACTACTGGCCCTGTCCATTTTAATGCTTCTATAGCATGAGCAAATTGTTTCACATTCTCATACATAAGATTAGGATTAGTTAAATAATCTCTATTTCGAATACATAAATATTTATTACATAAAAATAATTATATTTTAGTACCATTTTGATTATATTAAATTTTGATTATAAATAATTTTATTACCTTATCGATCGTGGATCCATACCTTCTAACATTTTGCAAAATATACCATATTCTCTACTACTGTCTGATAATAAACTAAAAAAATGATGAAGATGTTCAGAATATCATAATGCTTTTTTGCTTTTTTCTTGTTCTTGAATTTATTTGATTTGAAGCATTAGTTCTGCTAGTTCGCTAAATGTTTTATCAGTTTTGAATGCACCTTTCTTTCCATATTCAGCTAATTTTGATCACATTTGACTTTCATCTGAATCCTCAATTGCATTTTCATATAAAGTTTTTAATTTATCATTTCCTAAAAGCTGAACCAATTTATTATCTCGAAAATGTTATTTCGTAGTATATTTAAAAGTTTTCTCAGTTGCACATGGCTATAAATTCAAATTTTGACAATAATTTAAAATCAATATTATATACCATAAAATAATTTAAAATAAACATACCGCACTGATCGCGTCATGAAAACGTAAACAATTTTTTAATCTATCACATTCTTCACATATTTTGAATTCATGAAGAATAAATTTAGAACATTTAATACTCATTACTGATAAATTTCCTTGATCTAAAACCCATGATGCATGTGCTCTTTGTGTATTATAAAGTTCTTGTCGTTCACTATAATTTAATTTGTTATAAACTAGATGTCCATCTTCAAATTTTTGTGAAAACAATCGACAAGCAAGTTCTGTTTTATTTTTTGAACCACCAAAATCTGATAGGCATCTTAGTATATATTGTTTAATTTGATCATTTGTTAAACCCTAACAGGAATAAGGTTGCCTTTTTGATAATATATTTTCATCATTAGTTTTAAAATATTTTTCAATGCTAACTTGACCTTGTGATTTAGCACTGCATGCTCTTTTACTACGTACATAGTTAAAAAAAACTGAATCAATTAAATTATTTTTTTAATAAAAAAATCAAGTATAGTATAAATAAATATTTACTTACGTTTTTAAGTTTTTTAATGAGTATCGCTTATCTAATTTTATTTCTTTTCCACATATGCATCAAACATATTTTGGATTAATTAGCTATGAAAAGTATTTATATCTACGCAATTTTATTTCCTTAGGACACATATAAGGTTTTCCATCAAGTGGTAATTCGTTATATTCATCATTACTACATTCATCTAAATTATCATCAGATTCATTATCAGTTGACAGATCTGTATCATTATCATCACTAATTGATAGATCAGTATTAATTTCACTATAGGAACGTTTTTTATTAATCAAAGGGAAATTAAGAGTTGTTTGTCATAGTTGATCAGATATAATTTTTCTGCTATCATCTATAACTTTATCTTTACCCTTTTTAATAGATAATACAGAAAAATTAAAAGTTGAATGTATATAATTTTTTTATTTTGAGCTTTTTCCGTTATTATATTCCATTATGTGAAAAAAAAAGCAAAAAAAGTTGCAAAAAAAAATCTTTCAATCTTATTTCACACGACATTATGTACTATTATGACTTCGTCAAGATCTGTAAAATAACTGGTTATCAGAGTACAAAATACTATTGGAAATTTAGAATAAAATTTTGCTGAAAGACTGTAAATACTTAAAATATTCGGTAAATATATCAAATATTAAAAAAGTAATTATCATATGAATTGTACTACTAATAAGAACCCTTTATAAACTATTAATAAATTTACTCTTATATTAGTTGGAAAGCAAAAAAAACTTTACCTTATAAAAACTTGAGCATTTTTTAAGACACTATGAAATTTACCTATAGCTTAGTCGGTAACTTTTGAGATTTTTTTATATAAACTTTACCTAATCTACATGCTAGGAATATCAAATATAAGTTTTCGGAGTCCTATCAGTATATACTACTATATATTGTAATATTAAACTATCCCTTAAACCGTCCGCTTTAGTAAGCAAATTTGCCCGCTAAAATAATTGGAGAAAATTAGCCCTAGAAATAATTTTTTATATTAAATATTAGCTAAAATTGGCAAAGATAACTCCTGAAATATCAGGTTACAGGGTAATACTAAAGTCACATTTGTGAAGAGTCACGTGATCTAAGCAAATTGATTTTTTTTTGAGTCACGTAAAATTTGGTTATGAAGTATCCTGAATGATCGAACTTCTCAAATCATTCAAGCAATTAATTTTAACTACTTCATATCCAAATGAAATAAAATCATTATGCAATAAGGGTACTTATTCATAATAAAAATTTTAATATCAAGCTAATTAAATCAGCTAAATTAAACGATTAACTTTAACACATTTATATAAATAAACATAAATGAATGTTAGTAGAAATAAAAATAAGATCATAATAAAAGTAAGTATTCTTAATTATATACACAAATTAATAAAAAAAAAATAAATTTTATTATTTATTATTATTATTATTTTTGTGTGAAAATCAACAAAACAGTTACAATTGCTATTACAGCAAAGAGGCACATTGCATACTAAACACTAAAGCTGACTTTGATGTGGTGTTTTACAATCCAAATCTAAATTTTTTTTGCTTGCCAACCAAGTGTACCATTAGTATGATTCTCGTCTCTCTCTTCATTCAGCAAAATGATTTTCAGATACAAATCTTTGATTTGAAAGCTCAAAATTTTTGTCACTTTTGACCGTTTAGTTTTTTTTTTTATTTCTTCTATTATTTTCCTTTTTATGCCACTTCTCAATTGAATTTCTCTTGTATTATTTGCAATATTAATAAGATTTCAAACAAGTTCATAGTGAAATTCTTTTTGCTCTTGTGTTGATCCTAATGTTCAGGTGATTCAATAGACATTGATAATGGCAATATCCAACAGCTAGAATAAAAGAGGCATTCAATTCCTTTATACTACTTGTTGTGTATTGTAGTATGATCCAGTGTTGGCATTGGACTCATTCCAATTGACTGAATTAGACGATTTGGACAATTGGACAATTGAACATAGATCAATAGCGTACAATTATTCAAATCATCCAAATAGATTTGGACTATGTCCAATCATCCAATTGGATAATTGGACATGCAATTGGACTTAGTCCAATTAATTGTCCAATAAAATTCAATATAGTACATGATAATCAAATAAAAAATCTTTCGCAAATTTTTAAATTTTTATAACTTCGCAATGCAATAGTTTATTTTACTTTAGAATTTGTGCATTTTAAAATTTGGGTATTTTCATAATAGTCATATTGGCAATAAGGTACTTCGGTATCTCTTTTTTTTGTTTTTTTTAATAATAAATATAGAAATGACACGGGAAAAACATAAACTTAGTGGTTATTTTTTGATATTAGAAGAAAAATCCAATAAATGGAACAATTATGCTATTTGTCAGGATTGTATTCGGGTTTTAGGTTCAGAAGAAGCTTTAAAACATAAATTTACAAATACCAAGTGTGCATGTGCAAATCACCTTAAAAGTTGTCCTTATTGGGCCGAAAGACATACCTCAGAACAAACTAGTGCTATAATTCAAAATGCAATGGATTATGGATCAAAAAAACGAAACAAACATCATCGATTAGTAATTGAGAAGGAAGGGAATAAAGGGATGAAGGGGATGAAGGAAAGGGGATGAAGAGGACGAAAAAGGTGGAAGGGATACATTTCAATTAACTTTTCATACTCCACTACCACAATTACCTCCGTCACGAAATTTAAACAACTTTTTTATACAACACCATCTATTACATCATATAGAAGCAGTGTAAGTGATATATCTAATATATTATCTCAAAGTTTTGGTCCGCTTGATAATTATGTATATTGTGAGTTAAAACCTGAACAAATAGAAACATTTGAACAATTATTGTTAAATGTTATTGTTGCATGTGGGTTTTCTTTTTGTTAGGTTAAAAATTTGGCAGTTAAAGAACTTTTTAAATGGATTAACCAAATGTTATGTTTGCCAAGTCGAAAATAACTTAGTGATCGAATTCTTGAAAGAACTACCAACAAAATTTCAGAAACCATTCTTAATGATGCTATTAATGATGATTTTGGTATTATGTTAGCTTTGACGGATGGAAGAATGTAGCACGTCAAAATTTATTAGGGTCTATTTTGTTTATTTCAGAAAATAATATGATTATCTAGAAAATTGAAAATATTAATGGAAAAAGATATACAGGTAATATTGTGATGGATGAAACCAAAAAATCTTTTGAACAACTTGAACAGAAACAAATTAAAGTCAATGAATTAATCACAGATTCAGCTTCAGAAAATGCTGCTGCAAGGTAATTAATTATATAATTATTTTAATTTATATTTATTA